AAGAAATGAATATTTGGATTGGTTTGTATTTTTTCTTTAAATAAATAAACTTAATTTCCCCATGGAGTATGTACAGGGTGGGTCAAATTGGACGCTTTTAAAGGGAAAGGCCCTTTTTTTCAGAGTTACGCGGCGTTTTTCAAAAATATGCATTTTTAACAAATCGCTGTAACTTTTTTGCTATGGAAAATTTTGTATTTCTATGAAAACATTTCCAAAGCACCTTTTTACGTAGAATTTAATGGTTTAAATATAATTTTTTTAAAATTAATAATTTAAGAATTATCAACAGAAAATTTGATTTTTTATATGGGACACCCTGTATATTTTTAATTTATTGAATAGAATTTAAAATTACCTTTCCAAAAACATAACACACTTGATATTTTGCTCGATTCTTCTTCGAGATATAGAGTATATAAAAATTCGCCCGCTTTAAATAAGTAGGCTTTGAACGGCACCGGTTGCAATGCAAAAAAATTCTAGCTGTGAGCTTCAATTAAAACGAAAATAATATTTATTATGAGAGATGCAGAATTTTATAACTATTTAAAATATATTTAACCAACATCAACACATTTAAACTATATCTATTAACAATAAAAATAAATAGCAAACCAAGACATGAGATTTTGCTACAAGTGTTCGACATATCGACCGTCATCTGTTATGGACAGACGGGGCAGTTTTTGAACATTTCTCGCGGAATTCAACTCAGTGGGGGTGAAAGATACCCTCCCATAACTGCTAAGTATTTCTAATTCTAGTCTAGATTATACGGAAGAATAAGGAACCTTTACTCTTCCGCAAATATATCCATAGGATTAGATCCATGGGCACTAAGTCAGGCGGCCTCGACGGCCAACGGCTGGGATCTTGGTTAGCTATTCAATTATTCTAGAAGATTCGCTGCAAACATTTGCTGATAACTTCAGCGTTCAGAGGCGGTGCGTCGTCTTGCTCGAAAAATATGTTTTCGAGTTCCATTAAGGGCATATCATCAATAAGGGGTCCAAAGCCCACTAGTTAAAAGTGGCGAACTTTTAAAAATTCTGTATTTCGAAGGGGATTATAACAAAATATCAAGTGTGCTATATTTTTGGAAAGGTAATTTTAAATTCTTTTCAATTAATTAAAAATATTGAGGGTGTCCCAAATAAAAAATCAATTTTTCGGTTGATAACTCTTAAATTATTAATTTTAAAAAAATTATACCTACTTAAACCATTAAATTCTACGTAAAATGTTTTCATAGAAATACAGAATTTTCCATAGCAAAAAAGTTACAGCGATTTATTAAAAATGCAAATTTTTGAAAAACACCCCGTAACTCTGAAACAGTAACAGCTATTGATGTGCGGTTTTCACCATCATGTTTTTGGTTTGGTTTGGTTTAGCAGGGAAGATTATGAAGCTACTATTTATTGTACATCGTATCTAGGCAAAATTTTTTAAAAATACCATTTTGGTATTTTCCATAGCTGTTACGCCGTCTAGCGGCCGTTCTACAGACTTGAAAGTAATTTCCAGCAATTTCTCATAGTCTCTTTAGTTATAAATATTTTTTTCTGCAGGTCCTACGGCTAATACTTTCCGAGATACAGCCGAGAGCTATACTTATTGTGGAACACCCTGTACTTAAATCTAATACACACTAAACTTTGAATTAACCAATGAAATGTGTATATAACCTACGTCAAAACGTCTTTATCTTGATATACCCTATAGAAATCCAATCCCTGTCTAATCTAATTACATATCCTGGCTGCGTAATGTTCGAATTATAGTGTGTTCGGAACAATACCCTCGTGCCAGGATATCACCACCTAATTTGTGTCAGACAAGTCGGATATGACTTGTTCTCCATGATGGATAACTTGGAAAGTAGAGGCAAGCTTGTCAATCTTGTCTAATTAAATTTTGAAAAGGTGAAATATTATTTCCCCAGACAATTTTATGCTAAGGTTGTATTAGACTTTTTTGAAGGGGCGTTAAAGTTGTACTTTAGTGTATAATTTCGTTTTTTTCCATAGCAACTGTTAAAATTGCCTTATATCTATCAAAAATAGTAGATAAAATACGAGCCCTAACAACTAAATGTTCGGACAAACAAACATTTATTAAAAACCTTTATTTTCATTAACTGAATTATTTACATTAAAAATATATTAAAATCTAACATTTCTAATGAGTATTGAAATAGTTTAGTTTCTATAAACATTAAAATAAACTGTAGGCCAATAAATACACAAAAATATTGCACAATATCCTGACAACTAAATGTTCGGACACTTTAAAAAGAACCGTTCTAACATATTAGAACGGTTCTTTTTAAAGTGTCCGAACATTTAGTTGCGTTACATCGGCATGAACTTTTGCAACCACTGCATGTCTGTTTGGCATTGTTTTTTTATTAATAATTGACATAAGCCAGAGTAAAAATTTTGCCATAATTCACTTAATATCATCGTCAAGTGGGCAACGGTTTCTTGGGGATCGTGGCACAATTTTTGTTTTGTTTTATGCCACGATAACATTAAGGTCCGATAACATTAAGGTCCGGACTGTGCGAAGGCCATGAGGGGACCTTGATGTTCATGTCCGTAAATCATTTTTAGTAGTTTTAGCCATATGGCATGCCCCGCCATCCTGTTGAAATATAAAATTCATATCCTGGTAAAGGTCTCTCGCACAAAATTTCTTGATATTTTGACACATTAGTTGTCTTTCTACCACCTCATACCCTCCTAGACCCATTGCGGACATAAACTCTAAAAGCATAATGTCTTTAAGAAATTCCACTGTCCATCTTTCATAAAGATCATGCATGCGTGCAGATGTAATCCTTGAACTTGCAATTTGCGATTAGAAGTATCAGCGTCGGATTGGAACTTCTGGGGCCTGTAACTCAAAATCTACAACTGTAACAAGTGTAGAACTTGTTGAAGATTCACTTGTAGCTACAATTCCTGTTAATTTCTGTAACACAAAGTTCTCAAAATGACTTGTAATAACGGCGAATATTTCTAACAAGTGTAGATAAAGCGCACAAGAGTTGTAGGACAGACGCACTAGATCGGTAAACGTTCGTTTGTGTATTATTGCGTATGGGGATAAAAGACTTGTTTAGACAAGTTCGTTCTAAAATTAATTTTGGTAAAAAAGTCTTCGAAACAAGTGGTGTTTGCTAGAAAAATCTAGCAATGCAAATTTTGCAAATGCAAATGGCTTATGCAAATGGCTTATGCAAATTAAAGAAAATAAAGAGGTTCTTTTTGGGGCATTCTCGGATACTCTTCGAAAAGAAGACAAGGTGAAGCAATGGAAAGAGTTAGCTTCTCGTCCTCAAAGCGTATGCTTAATGCCCTTAGAGAAAGATTGAACATGCGCAAGAGATACCCTGTGGCAAAATCTAAAGAAGAGTGCAGTGGTAAGTGTTTTATGTTGTATTTTGGATTAAAACAGATTCTCAAAATTACAAAAATAGAAAGCGTCTAATCGCGTATCTGTTTTGTTAGTGTATGTTATAATCATAGAGTGTTTTGCAAAAAATACCTACTAATCCATAATCATTTAGGCTCCTATTAGCTTGCACATATACTATGACTATAGTATAGTGAAAGCTTGGCTATTTGTTTCTTTTTCATACCGCTGAAGAACGGAGTATTTGTTGGTATCTAGAAAAATAGATATGTATTCTTTAAATCTCCTATTTTAGTTAAAATTGGATAATGCGAAAAATTTGTCCCCCATTGCCTAACCAGTGTAGTGCAATCAACATTTTCTGTAGAGGCGGCAGCCCATACCACCGATTACAGCTATTTTTGTAGCTCCGGGGAGAAGTCTTCTACGAGATCCTGGCATTGCGCTCTACTTAGTCGAAATCGCTCCTCAAATTCTTTATCGGAAAGGAATGCAGGGTCAGTTCTCTCTCTGAATCGATATGGCAAACTTTTTTCAACATTTTCGTCATCACTTGAACTTGACCACATTGCGCTAGACGTGTGAATAAAGCAACGACTTATCAATTCTAAACTCTATTATCTAATTTCATTCTAACGGGGTAGTAGGACATCTGTTAATTAATTTTATAGTATTTTTTTACAAATTTGTGCATATAATTGAAATAATTGATTTTTGTCACCGCTTAACATATACATGGAACCACTGTGCATTGGGGATATAAACTCTAAAAGCATAATGTCTTTAAGAAATTCCACTGTCCATCTTTCATAAAGATCATGCATTCGTGCAGATGTAATCCTTGAACTTGCAATTAGAAGTATCAGCGTCGGATTGGAACTTCTGATGTTACAAACTACAAAAATGACATTAAGGTAAAATATTAAATTATTTCCCAATCCGACGCTAATAATTCCAATCGCAAATGGCAAGTGCACGAATTACATGTGCCACATTAATATCGATATAATTAACACCGCTAGAGTGTCTGTTTGATAAAGATTGCCTCCAAAGGACAGTGAAATTTCCTAAAGGCATTATGATTTGAAGGAGTATGTCCAAAATAGGCCCAGAAAAGTATGAGGTGGTATAAGGCATAATTGATGAGTCAAAAAATCAAAAAATTTTGAAAAATATTCTTGTGTCAAGTGGGAAGGACAAAGGTCCTTGTAACCAATTGTTCTGGTAATGACCAGGACAATAATTTTATATTTTAACAGGATGGCCGGGCATGCCATACAGCTGAAACTACTAAAAAATGGTTTAGGCACATGAACATCAAGGTCCCCTCATAGTCTTCGCACAGTCCAGACCTTAATGTTATCGAGAGGAATAAAACAAAACAAAAATTGTGCCACGATCCTCAAGAAACCGTTGCCCATTTGACGATGATATTAAGTGAATTATGGCAAAATACGTTTTTTAGACTGTTTTCCGTTTTATCTGATACGTAAAACTGGCAGGTATAACTTTATGTGTAGACACGGGCTTTAAGTCCAAAAATTCTAATGTGATTTCGAGAAAAAAAACCAGTATCATACTTTGAAGTTTTTATTTCAAGCCTGCTAATATACAAAATCAAAATTCATCAGATGCTTTTTTGGCACAATCATTTTTCTTAAAAATATTCACATCTATTTAGTTTAAGAACTGAACAATACCGAATTATTTACAGACAACTAGAGATATCTTCTTTAAAGGCAACATATTATGCTCTTTAACAATTAGTTTGTAATTAGCATTGACATAAACATCCAACATCAACTTAATTCAGGATAAATTGATTTCTCATGGGAACAAACGTTTATTAATTACTATACACACGCAAAAATTAAAAATTATTGATTAATTAGTTTTACAATTAAGCAACAATAACATTGCTGTTCGTGTATAACGTAGTGAAAAATATTAAAAAATGATATGGTTAAAAAACCTAGGCCTAGATATGTAGAGATATGTCTACAAGTATGTTTGAGTGTTGATATAGACTTTAATATAAACTATGTTATAGTCAACTCAGTGTTAAGATATGTGCCAAAAGTAAATAAACAAAGTGTTGTGGTGATATACAGGAAGAATTCGATGATATGGTGACTTCTTTTGACCTAGTGCCCCTTGCAGGTTCTGCAACACCTGAAAAAGAATATTGAATTTAGATTAACAATTATATTATCATAATACAATTGATTATTTTATAGTAAAATAATTTTATCCAACAGCCACTACTTATACGGCCATTACTCACATGTACAGGGCGTCCCACTAAGAATAGCTCTCGGCTGTATCTCGGAAAGTATTAGTCGTAGAGCTTGCGGAAAAAAATATTTATAACTAATGAGACCATAAAAAATTACTGGAAATTATTTTCAAGTTTGGACGGCCGCTAGAGGGCTTAACTGCTATGGAAAATTACAAAATGGAATTTTTAAGAAATTTTGCCTAGATACGGTGTACTATAAATAATAGCTTCATAAATTTCAGTAAATTTTGGATCTTTTTTGTTGGAACCATTTTCCCCTATCTGCTAAAATAAAGTGGTGGAGGGAGGTTAGATCGGTTTTTATTTAAATATTAATTACTCCGGACCGGATGATCCGAACCCAAAAAGCGAGAGCTCGTTTAAAAGAGCGTTTCTTATTCTATATTGTACCATATAAACTATAATAATCAGCTTTTGAACGTAGACGCTAGGGGGCGTTGTCTTACAATTTAACAAACATTGCGCGTTTTTTCAAAAAAATTAAATGCAATAGTATATGTAATTTTAGCTGATAGTAAAGAGGAATAAAAGCTTAACAAGTCAACGAAAACCGGATCTGGATATCTTTTGTCAAACCAAAGTTATTAGGAAAATTATAATAAATATGAAAATATAAACCCTAATTACCTTATTTTTCTAATATGGTATTACTAGCCCTCTTGATTATGAACATTCTGACAAAAATAAGATAGAAATGATTAGATTATTCTAAAATCGACAATATGCCAGAATACCATAATACCTAATAATTAAGATATCAATGACAGTTAATAAGAAACGACGCCTCAGTGAAGTCATGGTAGGCTTTGGAAAAAAGTTGCTTTTGACGTAATAGTATAAACGTCAAAGTGTTATTAGATCAACATTTTGATAGTCTTAGCAGCGTTTTTTCTCTGTTGAAGAAAGGCATTTTTAGAAAAGCGATCAAAAGATAAAAAAAGGCTGCTGAGACTATAAAATGTTGATATAATAATATTTTGATGTTTAAACTATCCATTTAAAGCAACTTTTTTCCAAAGCGTACCATGAATTCACTGAGGTGTCGTTTCTTGTCCTCCGTCATTGGTATCTTAATTATTAGATATTAATACACCTAGCAGTATTATGATTTACTGGTTCATTGTCGATATTTTGAATAAAATAATCTTTTTTATGTTATTTTTTATTAGCATGGTCATAATCACGAGGGCTAGTGATACCGTGTTGTAAAAATAAGGTAAATAAGGGCTTATTTTTTGGTATTTATTATAATTTTGCTAATATTTTCGGTTTGAAAGAAGACATCAAGATGCGGTTTTCGCTGACTTTTTAAGCTTTTACTACTCTTTACTATCAGCTAAAATTACATATACTATTGCATTTAATTTTGTTGAAAAAACGCGCAATGTTTGTTAAATTGTAAGACAACGCCCCCTAGCGTCTACGTTCAAAAGCTTATTATTATTGTTTATATGGTACAATAGAGAGTAAGAAACGCCCTTTTAAACGAGCCCTCACTTGTTGGATTCCGATCATCAAGTCCAGAGTTATTAATATTCAAATAAAAACAGATCTAACCTTCCCCCACCACTCTATTTTGGTAGATGGGGGAACATGGCTCTAACAAAAAATATTCAAAATTTATCTGGGCAAAATTGTGTAAAAACTCCCTTTACTTATTTTTTGTTGCAGTTGCGCCCTCTAGCGATCGTTCTACAAACTTGAAAATAATTTCGAGCAATTTCCCATAGCCTCTTTAGTTATAAATCAAAGAATATACCTAGCTAGAAAAAGAATGGACTCTGCCATACTGAAAAATGGTCCTACAGAAGTGGCGCCATCTATTGAGTAGGGCTTGTTTTAAACGGGTCGAAGCGCGGGCTTTTTAAATGAGCATATTTATTGAATTTTGCTCTAAAATAATTAAATTTGATTATTAAATCTTATTTTTTACACAAATTCAACAATACTAATAACAAGTATCGTTGTGATGTGTAAAAAATAAGATTTAACAGTATAATTTATACAATTATTAAATAAAATTAAAGCCAAACATGTTAAATATTATTTATTATGTAAAGTTTTTATTTATAAGTCAAATATTTAAACATCGTTTATTACAGGGGCCGGAAAGTGAAATAGCAAAAGCTGTTCCACCGTTTCCACGGAAATTTCAAATAAAATAGTTCCAGCCTCGGGCGCTAGGTGGTAGTGCAATTAATTTTTAGGTTAAGAAGTTGCTACTAGTTATTGCCAGATGGCGTTCAATCAGATTTTTTTTGTAGTTTCCATAGTTTCCAACGGCCATTGTCATACTATTGTCAAATTCTCAAAAAATATTGTCGTTGTCATAGCGCCATAGTCATAATATTATCAAAAATGATTATCAAAACGTTTTTCAAACTATAATTTGTTATATGTGTTTTTATTAGACAATTCCTTTTGTTTGTGGCCCTAAAAATATAATGTAAGTCTTTTATTTTTGCCATCATTTAAGTACCTATTTATATTTACTCCATTTACAAAACTTTGGGCGTATTACGTTGGTCTTGTTTTATTATAATAAACGATGTTTAAATATTTGACATATAAATAAAAACTTTAAATAATAAATAATATTTACACATGTTTCGCTTTAATTTTATTTAATAATTGTATAAATTATACTGTTAAATCTTATTTTTTACACATCACAACGATACTTGTTATTAAAGAGTGAGTCCATTCTTTTTCTAGCTAGGTATATTCTTTGGTTTATTATAATAAAACAAGACCAACGGCAACGTAATACGCCCAAAGTTTTGTAAATGGAGTAAATATAAATAGGTACTTAAATGATGGCAAAAATAAAAGACTTACATTATATTTTTAGGGTCACAAACAAAAGGAATTGTCTAATTAAAACACATATAACAAATTATAGTTTGAAAAACGTTTTGATAATCATTTATTTGATAATATTATGATTGACGCTATGACAACGACAATATTTTTTGAAAATTTGACAATAATATGACAATGGCCGTTGGAAACTATGGAAACTACAAAAAAATTCTGATTTAACGCCATCTGGCAAAAATTAGTAGCAACTTCTTAACCTAAAAATTAATTGCACTACCACCTAGTGGAGCTAGGGCTGGAACTATTTTATTTGAGATTTCCGTGGAAACGGTGGGACCGCCTTTGCTATTTCACTTTCCAGCCCCTGTTATAAATATTTTTTTCCGCAGCCGCTACAGCTAATACTTTCCGAGATACAGCCGAGAGCTATTCTTAGTGGGACACCCTGTACACATGCATATATAAAACAAGTAATAACACACGCGTGAATTTTTGAAGTTATAACCAACTAGTGTGTTATGAATTCCCTATCATATATGCCACGAGACTTTCCTGGCAGTATTTGTGCTGTAGCCGCCTCTGCCTGGTTAATAATTTCTTGCGGAACATCTTCCTGAATCATTTTTCTTTAAAATCTGACTTGCTGGTTGATATTTCATTATTTTATCGTTAAAAAATCGCGATTTATCTAAACGACGTCTTAATGTCAGTGCCTATTTATTATTTACAATAAATAAAACGCACATCTATATTGCATAGTAACATAAACGCACCCTAATAATTTATTAATTCGCAACAATGAAAGTAGAACTGGTAGATCCTTTTAAATCAATTATTCTTTAGAGATTGGACATCAAACAGTTCTGCTGTTAGATAAAATTTTGTATGGCACTCGCGTGTTATAACATATAAGTCACTAGTACCATAGATAACTAATTTACCTCCCATAACTTCAGAGTGGCTGTCGTACGTTGATACTGGATTCAATTTGATTTCTGTAACAATAACAAAAATAATTATTAAAACCTAAAATAATTGACAGCTGGCATTGACAAACACATAAAAAATTCTTGTGTCACAATGTCAATGCCAACAACAACAAAAGATCTATTAAAATAGTGTCCAAAAAAGGACAATGTATCGGAAAAATGCGCACTCTCAAAGTAGCGTGTTGGAGGACATGGTCAGGGTAAGAAAAATTCGTTTCAAAGAGGACCGAAAGCAACCTTATATTGCGAAACCGTCATGGGATGCCATACAGCGCCAGAAAAACTTCACGGAGTTCAAGAGAGTATATTGCGATGTGTCTGGCGACTCTAAATCTACCGAGGAAGTTAAGTTGATGCCTCCAAACGAATATAAGTATCCCAGTTTTAGGAAAAATCCAAAATATATCGAAACAATAACGCTCGAATTACCAGTAAGCATTTTTTTATTTTTTTATATAAGCATAAGTATGATGTTTCATAACTTTTCATAACTTATGGTATAGTTTGTAGATAAATTTGTTGGCATTATTTTTTATTATTTTAATGATTAAATTTCCGCTTCGAATTTGAGACAGCCCGTGTGCGCACGGTCATAGAGTTTGCGCACACGGGCGGTCGTCTCAAAGTGCAGTTTATTGAAGAGGCTAAAAGGGCGTCAAGCTTAAAGAGATTTTTAATTATTTTTATGATGTATATGATGGTCCTGTTTATTTTTTCGTAGTAATTAAGTTTAGGGAATTAAAAAATAAACTAACCTTATATCTCTTACAGTACAATTATGGGGCAGAGAGAGCAATTGTCCATTTTAAAACCACAATAAAGCCGAAAAAAATGATGCCCAAAGTGAGCAGAGAAGTTTTCACGGAAATATCAACGTCCAAATCAAAAACGGAGAATGCCCAGACAGAAACCCTATCCAAAAAATCGTCGACAATTTTAAAGCCTCCCAAAGCCAAAAAAGAGAAAACTCCGAGGTTTCTGGCTAGGAACTACACGAGCAAGCCGAAAAAGAAACAAGGCAAAGATAAGATCATGACGACATTGGCTATGCTGAATGACAAATTGAGGAAAATGCAAGAAAAATACCTGATTGGGGACAGGAATAATTACAAAAGCGTTAATGATTGTTTTACTCAGATAGGAAATGTGGAAATTTTGTACGAAAATAATTTGTATCCTGAAATTGAAGAACAAAAGAAAGGAACTCGGGAAATGTATGAAGATGGTTTAAGAAAGGGTAAGTTAGTTTCTTAATTCGTTTTTTTTTCTGGTAAAGTTAAATTCTGCTTTTGTTGTGGGAAATGTAACACAATTTTTAAGAATATGTCTTCTACAGGGTCCGGCAATAGTGCGTCGGGCATCTGTAGCTACTAAAATAAAAAACTTAGCAATTCTGTCCTGAATAATTTTTTGCTGTTATAGTTTCGAAATATTCATCAATTGAGCTGAAAGTGAACGAAATCATGAACGAAGTGGATGAGCCTATTCCCCAGTTTCCTAAAATAGAAGAAACACTAAAAGAAATTGAAACAAATCTAGATGAAATAGCAAATTTGAATACAAACAACAACGATAACAGTAAATCAAAAGAAACCAGTGAACATGTTGAAGAGGACGTTTGCTACGAAGGGCAATTTAAGTACCTTCTAGAAAGTATCGATAAAAGAAGTAAACTAAAACCGATAGATTATAATTGACTTCATTCAATTTACATATTTTTCTAGATTCTGACAAAGACGACGAAAAGAACTTGAATAACAAAGAACTTTGGCAAAATATTGAACAGAGCAAGAGCCTAAAGTTTCGTTCGCTGCGCAGGCAAATCGAAGCCGTGGAAAACGTTTGCGGGAAACTTTCTGAGATCGTGCACGAGAAGGGTGATAAAAATATTAAAGCAAATTACGAAGAAGAGGAAGAAGATAACAAGAGTACCGCGAGCGAAAGAGAAGAAAGAGAAATATATTTGAAGAAGTCGATGGAAAGTACCCAAAGAGGTGAGTAAAATATCTACTGATACATACAGACCGACAGGCAGGCAGACAGACGGACAGACAGACAGACAGACATACAGGCAGGCAGGCAGGCAGACAGACAGACAACAGACAGACAGACAGTTTTGACATAATATAGTTTTGATTTCAGGACAGTTCTTGTATTTTTAATAATGTATTAAGTAATGAATAATCATTTATTTTTATAAACTTTTAGTGAAATCTAACCCTCTTCCACAACACGCCATCATTCCCACATACATGGAAGGTCCCAATTTACAACTGGGCGTAAAGAAGTCCAGTTTCCTTTCCAAGGAGCTCGATAAGCTAGCGGGAAAACCGATGGTGAAAGTGTTTTCCGACCACCAGAGACGACTGATTCTACTGGATAAACAGCGAAGCATGGCGATGAAGGAGAAGAAGGAATTCACCCCGCAGGAGAGCATCACCAAGCTAATCGATAGTTTGAAGCAAACGTTCGATAACTCCTTCTATGAGCCCGTCTGTAACCAGTGATGTTTTTTTATATATTTACCTTTTTTTGTATATTTTCTAATAAATATTTGGTGTCCGAATTCGTACTCTGTTAATTTTTATTTTATATCATTTAAAATAAGACAACTAAAGCTTCATTCAGAAACTTCGAGTGGAAAATTAGTGGTTTTATTTAACGTAGAAGTTTGTTCCTGTAATTTTAATGTAAGCATTCAAAACATCAAAATTAGCGGCAGTAATTCTCTTCTTCCATTCAATTCGCCAAGAGCTACATCTTGTGTTCGTGGACCTGCAGATGGTTGGAGCTGCAACGTTCCCCTTGTGAGACTTAGGGAATCTATGGAAAAACCCAATATAAACGTGGAGCTAATAAAAGCAGTAAAATCATTATATAAACAAACGAAAACTAGAATAAAAGTCGGCAAAAAGTTGGCAACAGCATTTAATGGAACCAAAGGTCTGAAACAAGGGTGCTGTATTTCACCAACACTGTTCAAGATCTATCTCGAAGAAGTTCTCAAAGGTTGGAAGCAAAAATGTAGAAATATGGGAGTATCCATAGTGGATAATCTGCTCTACACACTTTGCTTCGCGGAACGATCAGATGCTCAAAGCACAAAATTACGAAGACATAAATTATATGACACGTAAGCTTATAGAAGAATATCAGAAATGGGGACTCGAGAGCAATACTAACAAAACAGAATATATGTGTATCGGAGGAGAACAACAAGATCTAAGACTAGAAGAAGGGAAGAAAATTAAGTGCTGCACAAAATACAAATCACAAATGGACTGTTGGATACAGCAATTAAAGAACGAAACCAACTTGGAAGGAATGCTATCAAGATATTAAATGGGATACTGTGGGACAGAAGCATAAACAACAGGAACAAAACACTAATATATAATACCATCATCAAGAGTATAACCACGTGCAGCTGTGAAGTGTGGCCAATTAAGGAAACAACAAAACGAATGCTGGAAGCTACAGAGATGGATTTTTGGAGAAGATCAACAAGTAAATCAAGACTCGAACGAATAACTAATGAACGCATAAGAGAGATTATGAAAGTTAAACATACAATAGTGGACGAGATAAAGAACAATCAACTTATATGGTACGGGCATGTCCAAAGAATGGCAGAAATAAGAATCCCAAAGCAAATTATAAACTGGAAACCTGCAGGAAGAAGAAAACCGGGTAGACCGAGAAGAAGTTGGCAGGAAGGGATTGACATGTTTATGGAGGAAAGATCTCTCGGAGACGGTGCATGGAGAGACAGACAGGCATGGAGAGATGTCATCGGAAGACTACATCAGTCAATGCTAATTTATGTCATATACTAACATACCAAATCTCGTTTTATTATCTGAAAAAATAAAAAAATTATAGGAGTTAAGCCACTTTTGAGAAACATAGGGTAGACATTATTTATTAGAAGATTTCTTGAAAAATAAGTATTCAGAAATTTTATATTATTTCATATCTCAGCTGATTAAACATTTCTTTTCTCATTAAAAATATATTTCCTTACATTTTTAATGAAATTTTTCTGAAGATTTCTAATAAGTCCCGGGAGCACTGTTTTGATTCCCGGAGGAAGATTTTCCTCTTGAAATCCCTCTAATATTTTCAGGAGTTCTCGTTCTTATTTTCTACTTATATTGCGCTCTTATAGCCGAGGCTATCTCAAAATAAAGTAAAATATTTTTTTAATTAAATAATGCGGCAGTAAGGCTGCACATAAAGGATATCAAAACGGCAACAAAAAGAAAAGAGGAGTTTGGGGAATGTATTATTAGTTTCCCGGGGAGTTTTCATAGGAAAACTTAAGAGAAAATGGTCCAGGACAAAAAAGAAAACTGCCGAAATCGATATAAAAAAGTACAGGAAACGATTAAGGAACAATTTCAGTTTTTTTGGTTAAAAATTGGAACTTTAAATCGCTTGAAAGTAAGATTAAATAAAAATAACTTTTTAAAAAATCTCGGGCTAATAGCTTTGACAGAAAATTTACTTCTTCTTCCTTCCTTGGCAATGAATTTTTTGAAACATACTTTATAATACTGCTGTCGAGTATCTATCACAGCATTTTTGATCGTGTTATTTTTTGAACAAATAGCTTCTGAATCAATTCTCATGACTCTTTGAACGAACGAGTCGTAGAAAGGAACGATCACATTGTGATCCGATTCAATTTTCATGACTCTTTTTTACAAATCGTTCATTCAAATTTCATGGATTTATGGATCCGTGTTGGCCACGATTCAACTGAACGAACCGTACTCTAAGCAATGAGTCAATTCTCACGACACTTTGAACGAACGAATCGTAAAAACAACGATCATATTGTGATCCTTGAAAGTAAGATTAAATAAAAATAACTTTTTAAAAAATCTTGGGCTAATAGCTTTGACAGAAAATTTACTTCTTCTTCCTTCCCTGGCAATGAATTTTTTGAAACATACTTAATAATACTGCTGTCGAGTATCTATCACAGCATTTTTGATCGTGTTATTTTTTGAACAAAGAATTTATTCAAATACATCGGTGCCCAAGAATTATTAGAAATAAGCTTTTGGAAAATTTTCTCCTATTTATTAAATAGGTAAAATACACAAAATTTGGTGATTTTTTAGAAGATCTGGAATTTTTTGTGAAGTTGAAGGAACAGGAAGGTTTTTTAAGGCTCCTTTGAAGAAATTTGGTCGCAAAACGCAGATCCTATCACTAGTGATGGGCATTAGGATTCTTTTTAGTGAATCGGATCACACGATTCAATTTCTCATATTGAATCGACTCCTACGATTCGTTCATTTGAACGAGCCACATGCACAATTTACGTTTCATAAAAACAAGAATGGTAAATGACACTACCGGCGATAATTTGGTCGGACAATTACTTAAGGGATCAGAAAAAGAAATATACAGTTCTTTCATTTGTTTTTCAACACTATATGGCACTGGCGTAACTGGATTGGTTATTCAACCAATAATATTAAATTATCAATCCAATTCATATATATTATTTACTAAAGACATCTTAATACCAATTTAATATTTTTAGAGCATATTTTAATTCCGATTTAATAATCATATAATAAATAGTATATAATACTTCAGGATCGAAAAAATGGCGTCCAGTTGGCTTGAAAATGAACATCAATGACATTTTCCCTATAATTTTACATATAGAATGACAGTTATCGTCATTTAATAACCATCGCTGACGCCGTTTTTTTCATCATATTGAGCAGAGGCCAACAATATTTATTTGCAGTTGCATAAAAACACGGTTTCGTCTTTTAGTCCGACATCTGATGGTTTATAGTCGGTAAATATTATTTTAACAAAAATATTAATGTGAAAATTAAATGCATTAAAGATACTCCCGTACTGAACACAGTATAAATAGCCGCGCCGTAGAAACGAACTAGTCGCATTGTGATCCGATTCAATTCTTACGACTCTTTTTTACGGCTCATCGTTCACATTTTATGGATCCGTGCTGGCGACGATTCAATAGACCGTTCAATCAATTCTCATGACTCTTTGAACGAACGAGTCGTGGAAAGGAACGATCACATTGTGATCCGATTCAATTCTCACGACTCTTTATTACAACGCGTTCGTTCAAATTTTATGGATCCGTGCTGGCCACGATTCAATTGATCGAACCGTATTGTAAGCAATGAATCAATTCTCATGACTCTTTGAACGAACGAGTCGTAGAAACAAACGATCACATTGTGATCCGATTCAATTTTCATGACTCTTTTTTACAAATCGTTCATTCAAATTTCATGGATTTATGGATCCGTGTTGGCCACGATTCAACTGAACGAACCGTACTCTAAGCAATGAGTCAATTCTCACGACACTTTGAACGAACGAGTCGTAGAAACAACGATCACATTGTGATCCGATTCAATTCTCACGACTCATTTTTACAACGCGTTCGTTCAAACGTTATGGATCCGTGCTAGCCACGATTCAATTGATCGAACCGTATTGTAAGCAATGAATCAATTCTCATGACTTTTTGAACGAACAAGTCGTAGAAACAAACAATCACATTGTGATCCGATTCAGTTGACTTTTTTTAAAAAATTCTGCCTTAACTGCTCCAAGTTTTGAATTTCTTCATGGCCGTAAATTTTAGATTTTATGTACTCCCATAAAAAGAAATCATTCACCGAGAAGTCAAGTGAAATTAAACGTCAGTCTAAACAAAACTGTCATTTTTGAAAACTTGTCAAAATTTCGACACACGCTAAATGGACTTGATTTTCCTATGTCTCGAAGTCTATGGACTTTTCTGTATAATCTCACAGTAATTTAATAGATTGCTCGTCATATTATATCAGCTCGTAGGAGATTAGGAATAAAAATATATTTATAGTATAAAAAATTAATTTATTTAACAAAATTTAATTAAAGATGTGACAAAATAGTTACATTTCTATTGGTTCTATCGGACTTTTTTCGACTATATAAATCCTTATTGTTTGTAAACTTTAATGCATAAAATATTTTCAATCTAATAAATAATTTAATGATGTAAATAAGAGGAAATTTCTCACATGGGTGGTCAAATTCTATAGTTTTCATTATATCAAACAGCCTCTGAATGTTTTCTTCAGTACAAAACTCATCAAAATTTAATATAAATAATTTTTCCAGCCTGTAAATAAAATGATTCATGACTTTTTTTTAAAAATCGTTCGTTCAAATTTTATGGATTTATGGATCCGTGCTGGCCATGATTCAACTGAACGAACCGTACTCTAAGCAATGAGTAAATTCTCGCGACTCTTTTTTACAACGCGTTCGTTCAAACGTTATGGATCCGTACTGGCCACAATTCAATTGAACGAACGGTGCTTTAAGCAATGAATCAATTCTCACGACTCTTTGGACAAACGAGTCGGAGAAAGGAACGAACACATTGTGATCCGATTCAATTATCACGACTCTTTTTTACAAATCGTTCGTTCAAATTTTATGGATCCGTGCTGGCCACGATTCAATTGAACGAACGGTACTCTATGCAATGAATCAATTCTCATGACTCTTTGAACGAAGGAGTCGTAGAAACAAACGATCACATTGTGATTCGATTCAATTCTCACGACTCTTTGTTACAACTCGTTCGTTCAAATTTTATGGAGCCGTGCTGGCCACGATTCAATTGAACGAACCGTATTTTAAGCAGTGAATCAGTTCTCACGTGTCTTTGACGAACGAGTCGTTGAAACGAACGCTCATATTGTGATCTGATTCAATTCTCACGATTCTTTTTTACAACCCGTTCGTTTAAATTTTACGGATCCGTGCTGACCACGATTGAATTGAACGAACCGTATTCTAAGCAGTGAATCGAATCTCACGATTAATTTTTAATACCCGTTCAAATGAACGACTGGTTCAATCTTTGCCCACCTCTACCCATCACTACTAAATATACCTACCGTATAATCGCAACGTTCCTTCGGCCTTGCCCAGCGAATTCGTCGACACGCAATTATACGTCCCGACGTCCTTATTGGAAAAGGACTTGATCACCAGCCACATGAACACCGTGTACCCGATCCTCTCCTCTCTCACCACGTACTTCGTGCTGAAAAGTCAAAGAAAAATTAGAAGAGAGAGAAAAACGGGAAAAAGCGGGAGATAATTCGGAAACGAATTTGTCGGAAAATCCGATATTAACGAGGAAAATCCTGCTCATTGTTTTCCAGGGCCGGGAAAACCGACGAATGACGGGGAGGGAAATGAGACGGAATGGGAAATGACGGGAGATGGAGGAGCGGAATGGAGACGACAAATTATTTTCGTAAATGATTTGGAGTCTACTTGGAAATAATTGTAATCTTTTGTGAAAAGTAAATCCTAATAATATTTGTTTATCTCTCTTTAAGTGGATTTTATTAAAATATTGTTTCTTTGATATTATTGTAATATACAGTAGAAAATGCCTATGAATTAAAGAACGTAAAGATTATTTAAGAAAGGGAGTTTTTCACAAATCTAAGATTTTTCAGAATTCATGGGACACTGGGCACAGAATAAATTTTAATAACGCCAAAATTATAATGAAAAAAGCAACAGCCTCTAAAAGAAAAATAAAAGAGGCTTTTTTAATACAATCTAATAAAAATAAATGTATTGCTCATGCATCTGTAGATGTTAGTAATGTATGGCAATCGCTACTTTGATTTTAAAGAACATAACATAAATAAACATAATATACGTAAAAATTAAAAATAATCATACAGAAAGTTTGAGGCTTTTTGGTTTTACCTTATTAAGTAATTGTTATCAGGTAGTAATTGTTAATTTTGAAGTTTAACTTGATATAATGTCATTTTAACAGAACGTCAACGGTTTTTGTAGAGGTATCTGTTTTAAAAACTAAATCGTTCTCGAATAGTTGAATTTAAATATTTTAAATAGTTTTTTTCTTTATTCTTTGTATTTTTTTGCTGGCAGACCAAACTCAAATTTTTACCAAAACTTCGTAGTTGAAGGCCTATTTTTTTGTACTAAACGTTAACTAACACTAAACTTGAATTTGTAAAACTTGAATTCTATTCCGAGACACTTAAATAAACATTTATCGCTTTATTGTATCGCTACAAGGCCCATTCACACAGCCACTCGTCTAAAATCGAAAATCGTGTCGGCACCGTTCAGCAACTGCATAATTCAAGCGTGCTACAGTCCTCAATTGCCCGTCCACAGAAAAAGTTCGAATTGCGTAGCTCCATTTGGCATCGTTCGCGTCCACAAACGCCCCCGTTTCCACTCTGTATTCCGGCGCTTTTTACCCCGCCCTCCCCTACGGTAACGGTGGCAACCAGTGGCAACTATTAAAATGTTAAATTTGCCGACGCCTCGCACCGAATTAAACACGCAGCAGCTTGATCGCTATTTAAATTTAGCAATATTTGCCAGTAGTGAAACTTTTCAAACGAGATAATATATGATTTAATTAATGTACATTAGATTTAGATTTCTTGAGGTGACTGATCATAGAACATACTAAAGAAGAACGCTAACTCCCGTGTATTTTTTAGATTCAAATTTAAAGTGGCGCCATCTAGTGTGTCGGGAATGAACTAAACTTGGTGGGAAAATTTGAATATACCATATTCTATTATTTTTATGCAAGTTGTTTGAAATAATGTAGACACAAAACAATCAGAAACAATGAGATCTTCAGAAATCAGTATAAAAACTTATTTTCTTACATCTGATTGTCGCTGACTGGTTCGTAACTAGTCTGAGAACAAAGAAATCAATAATCAATAAAGAATACGTATTATCCTTGTATATGAATTTTTAAAGTAGCTCAACCTAAGACGTTTATGGATGTAAAGCACCAGATGGCGGGGCGTATTTCACAGTCTTTTACTACAGAAAAATATTTTTTGTTACTCTGAATTTTGAAGCGACCAATAAAAACAGAGAAAATAAAAATCGATAATTTTCGGACTGTGCCAATTGGTTACTAATCGACCAGATACTTTTTGTCTATTAGATATGCTATAAAAGCTGGTAATTATACAATTCGACCATTGTAAATACCCGATAAATTCCGCAAGGCCAACGAGGCCGATGCTTTTCACTGATAAGAAAAAAAATGTTTATTTGGGTAATTTTCGAGATATTTTTCTTTCTGAATGAACATTTTTAAAGTATTTTATATTCTTTGTCCGCTTGATCTATTATACTGGTCGCACGTATCGAAGTTCTGTTGCTTCTAGTTTAGTTACTCTAAAAAATGTTCTTATTTCTTTGTAGTTGTAGTGGTTGTAGTGTAAAATTAGATTAATTTTATTAAGTTTAATTATAATGTTTAGTGTAGAATACCAGAAATAGTTTAGTAGTGTTTTTATAATATTTTGTAGTTAAGTAGTAGGTGAAGGGATAATTTTTTTCTTTTTTCTTTTTGTTTGATTAATTAGTAAGTTTGATAATTTTTTCAGGGTAGAATACAAGAAGTAGTTGTGTAGTGTTTTTATAAGATATTATATTAGTTTATTTTGTAGATGAGGTATTTGGGTATATTTTATTTTTGTTTTTCTTCTAATTGTAATAATTCTATTAAGTATTGTGATAGATACACTATATCTTCCTTCAACTTCGTTGAAAAGTGCGTTATCATATAATTTTGGTTTTCTGGTAGTAGAATATACGAAAAAAAAATATGATCAAATTTATTTTAAATTAAATTAATCGAGTCTTATTAATCAAATTAATCTAGTCAAATAATAATAACAGTTAGTTTCTATTAGTTTCTAAATACTATACAGGGTGAGTTTCCTACGATCGATGTTCTCTATGGTTATCTCGGAAACTACTGGAGATAGAGAGTCGGTTAAATGGGGAAAGAATAATTGCAGTTTTGTAGGGTCATAAATATGCGCCTTTCGGATTTTTCGGAGAAGTTCAAGGCTTACTAGATATTTCGAAAAAAACAAATTTTGGCTATTTTAAAACTTGTCTCTAATTCCATTATAATCTACCGTATGATCGAATAAAAACGGCGTCAACGATGGCTATGAAATGAAGATCGCTGTCATTTTATATGATATATAATTTCTACATATTATTTAACGCGTGTTCAAACATTAATCTTGTGGAATATAGGATAGATGTAACTAACGAAATATCATCGTAACAACAGCTATTTTAGAAACATCTAGGTTTACTTATTTCACTGAGATTTATGAAAAAAAGTCCTTTGCCTCGGGTACAGATACCGCCACGTTTTGGAAATAGCTCAAAACGAAACAAAATTAATCAAGGCGACAGGAAACGCCAAAAAAAAACACGCCCTCCTCACGAGTAGTTTTCAGGCGCTTTTAGGAATCGAAAGTAGGTCGAGGCAAACCGAAATGCGACAAAATTGAGCGACGAAACGCGATCTAGATCTGCTTCGAAGAGTTCTCCGCATAGTGTAGAGGCTGTTTTATAGTAAGTAGTTAAGAAAAAAATAATAAAAAAAGTTTCAAAATCATTTCCTCTGTTTTTCACAACAAAGACCTTGGGGTATCTAAAAGTTAATAATAAAAATGAAAACAGTTTGAAATAGAAAAACATATTTAGAAGATAATAATACGACAAATAATTGCAGCAGTCTACATAAAAAATAAATTACATTTTGCGCGACTCTTCTTGGCATTAAAAAGAAAACCACAACTCTTCAATTTCCGGCAGTTTCCTGTTATGAGGCTCTATTAAAATATGAATTTTTCACGGTGGAAAATCGGCCTTTTCCACTTTTCTCGGCGTCGATTAAAAATTATTTTCCTGTAAAATCGGATCGATATTTTCATTACTACGTGCACTACATAGCTCTCGCTTCAGCTTTAAGGCTCTTATTGGTTATATTGTTTGTTTCTTTATTTAAATTGGAAGAATTTGCGTCTATTTTTAAAAAGGTATGAAATAGAGTATCGATAATCAGTTTTTGTAATTACCAAAATAACATAAAATGAATAATAAAAAATAATAAACATTTGAAACTACACTTTTTCAACCATGACCTTCAAATCATTCAATTTAATAGCTGAGGGGTTCAAATGTGAACTGGATCAAGTCCTAGAAGATAATTATGGAGAAATAAAAGTTAAAGTTTTTTAATGTTACTTAATTAAAATAAAACAAGCTGGAGAAGAAAACTTGACAATGCTTTATTATATTTTAAATTGTATAATTGCCAACTAAAGTAACTCAAAATACAACTGTGGTCATTTTTAAGAATGTTTGTTTATAGTTTTTTGGACTTGAGCCATTTTATCTCCGAAAATATTTGAAATTTTAGATATAAATTGGTTCATCGGTACATTCTTCTTCTTCATTAAGGGATTTGTTGACTTCACATTGTCTATTAATAGTGTTTTCTTCGATTTTTATAAAAATTATGGTATATAGGCGAGATAAAGGGAAGAAGATCTTTCATGTGTTACCACTAGAGTGTGTTACGTTACGTCTGTATGAAATGATAAGATTTTTCTTCCTCGTGCAGTTTTATTCAGATCAACAACGTTAGATATCTAAGTATTTGTAAGAAAAATAGCCTAACTTATTGATGTAGTAATAGTGAAAATAATGATAAATCAAACTATACTTTCAGAATCGATAGAATCAGGCCTTTCAGATGGCTAGATCTGATTCACTTGGTGCAAATGGTTCAGACTTTGTTTCATTGTCATCCGTTTTATCAAAGAAATATTTTTTTTAGCTCTGAACTTTAGCACGTGTGTTAAATTTTATGGACTTGATCCATTTCATTTCTGAAAGGAATCAATAGAATATTCAGAAACCAAACAGAAACAGGTTATACAGGGTGCTACAAATTCGAGGTACGAGCATTGGTATCTAGGTAACCGTAATAGATACGAACATGGTTAAATTGCTGCAAAGTTGCGTATTGGGGTCTTCACCAAGATACCATCAAAAAAGATTTAAAAATTTCAAGGATGAGTTTTTTTGGAAAAAACTGATTTTTTTGAAAATTAATTTTATTTTTTCCTGTCGTTATTTTATAGAAAATCAAAAAACTAATTGCATATTCTCATAGCCACTTTATTAGGGCTATCTGATAGTATT